TGGCAAGTGTAAATGTTTATAATATATGTCAATGCTGTCTAGAATATCAAGAACACATAAATGTATCCATGTACAAATACTACGTATCTACATACACAAAAGTGTTCCTACACTGTTGGTCCATCATTTGTAAAGCAAACTTCTAATGGCTTTGATGCTTCATGGAATAATTATAACATAGCACTTTATAACAATCTGCAATACAGCATGTGTGTCCTTTACTCATTATTGGAACGCAACGATGTCTAAAGGATTTACACAAGTTTTCGGAGAATATCATGCAGCAGAAATTAAAATGACGAACATCAAAAGTTATCGTACTAACTTTTACATTAAAGTTGACATCTAATTGCAAATTTTGTTTGGTATGAGATATGAAATTTCCAGCAGTATTCAATTTNAAATGAGGGTTTATACTCTTTGATTAATGTAGTCTCGCAGCAAATGCAGAAATTAAAAAAATAGAACAAATTACATATAAGTATACCTGCATGAAATTCCATTTTATTTTCAGGGAGTAGAGGGAGGTGCCTTTTTTTTAACGAAATGCGTAAGTTAAATGAGTCGGTCATGATGAATACTAATAATGCACAAAATGAGGGTTTATACTCTTTGATTAATGTAGTCTCGCAGCAAATGCAGAAATTAAAAAAATAGAACAAATTACATATAAGTATACCTGCATGAAATTCCATTAGAGTTTAAGAAGTTTTATGTCTATGTGGTTTATAGCATTTACGTTTCGTTCAAATGATATCTTCAATGTTTTTTGTTTGATCTTTGCAACATCTAATGAAACTTCGGAGATTTAAACAATACAATACAACAATGCATCAAAATAACATTCCTTTCTGTTTACAGTTATGTATAGAGGAATTTATGTGTGGAGAGTGTAAACATTTCATAATATAATTTCACCCCATTGCCATCTAGATATCTAGAACATTTAACTAATATTTATGGCTTACAACAGCACCCCTTGATTATTTAATTGAGTAAGGTACCAACGCAAGATATTATACAGGGCGTCGTGTAACTATTACTGTTAGTAAATTGTATTATAACACTATATTCATGTTCTTTAGTTACGATGCTACATTTTCGGATTCCGTATGCTCCAACAAAGTCCATTTAAATATATGGATATCTACTTGCTGAAACGAATCCCGGCGTAGCTAACCTCAACGTGATAGGCACCTTACCATAATCGAATAAGATAATTCGAAGTGGTCTGTATTCTGTCTAAGCTGTCTGCGAAGCGCTGATGAGATCCAAAAAGATCGAAATCGCGATCCGCGTCTGGCAGTTTCGACAGAATACAGACCACTTCGAATTATTTTATTCATGTTCTTTGAACTCAGCCACTTTGTCCAACATTACGATTAGATTTATTCAGCATGTTATTTCCCTTTTATGCAGCAGTTGATATATTGTCGTCTCTAAATAATTACTTCTAACTCACAGTACCTATAATAACTTATACATAACAATAAGAAATGTCCTTTATTTTTATGTACGAATTACTCTTGAAAACCTCCGTTTATTTTGGGAACTACTTTAACGTTTTCGTTCATTTTTGCCTTTACAAATTATTGAAATATTTCTTTCGGAAAAGTGAACTGTTTGCTGAACTTGACTTGACATGTACTGAATTTGGGCTGCCAAAAAAATTATCTAGTTTACAACTTCCGCATGTTCTCATGGAATTTTTGGAGTTTCTCACACCTAATTTATCACTTGTTAACTGGAGACACAGCAATATATTTTCGGAATAAAATATGTGAAAGACTCATGCGGCATGAGATTTATTCATTATTTATTCAGTTTTGTGGTTGAATTATGGTCCGTCCGCTGTGCGATTTTTCCGAGAGAAACAGCATTGAAAAGCGTTCAAGTAGGCGAAAAATATGAAAGAAAGTAACAACAACTAAAACAGACTTCTAAATATTTAAATAGTCATGAGTTGATATTCCAGCCTTGGTATTGGTCTAGGTCTTGCCCTTGCGTGTTAAGTTTTGATCTTGCTAATTTAATCTGATACTTTTTAAATAATTTTCAAAACACAGATTTTTCTATTTACCGACACTATAAAAGTCTTAAAAGCTGAAATTGTCTGTCATACATGCGAGCTTGTCGTGACTTTTAAAGAAGATTGTGTCTCTAGTTATGAGAGTTATGAAAACTCTATGTATATATCCTTGCAGTAAATAAATAAATATTCTATTAAGTGAAAAGGTTTCTTTTAGTATCTGGCAACAAAACTCCAATTTCAAGTTTCGTATCTACACAGCCCGACAGGTTCGAGCTATTAAAGCCTAAATTTCAAAAGTTCGCATAAACAACCCCAAAGTAACCCCAAAGAATATATGCATTATTCATTCGAAGGAATAAACTTTCACAGTTCCGTTCCAAGAATATTCGGTTCGTTGGAGCGAACTTCGTTTTTCCAAATTCGATTTTCACTTTGTTATTAAGGATCGTTTCAAACAAATCGTAACAAGTCAAACGCCTATTATAAAGAGATATGTTCTGGTCGCTTAAAATAGAATTAAGCGAGTAGTTACAATGTAGAATGCCTTAATTGCCTTCTTTTAATAAAAAGGTAAAGAAAGTACCCTAATAAACACTTTTAATTAATCAGAAGAGAATCAGCTCTCATAGTTGTTAAAAAGAAATTAGTTACGACACAGCCCTGTCGAATTAATTAAGAGTTTTGGTCTTAGTAATGAAGAAAAGTCAATTTTAATTTGAAGACAACTCGTTTAAAATGAAATATTACATCGCACTATAGTGTGACTGTTTCAATTCACTTCTAATCTAATAATATTAAGTGTTAGGGAATTGACATTCTCGTTTTGTATTCATAGCAGTGATACGTATGCATTCTGGGAAAGTTATAAAGTGAAGACTCTCAAGTTTCGAACTAAATTCGATTAGAAATTGAAAGGAAACTGAGATATACGGTCCAATTTTAAAGAAGATGCTCCCGAACATTTTAAATAGACGCCTAGCACCAAACATTGTGTAAAAAGATGAATGGATAATTCAGAAATAATCCTATTTTAAAGTAATCCTTTCCAATATTTTTAGACTTAATGTTTACTTATGAATTCTTAATTATAATCTAATAACAAACGGAAACTAACGAGATCTCTAATTTGATAATACGTGGCAGATGCATGTTATAATACTATTTTTGAACTAAAATTATTTTTAGATAATTATTATAATATGTATTGTTAAGCTCTGGGAATCCCCCCTCACGGGACACTAAATACAATGATTTCTTTATTGTATTACGAACCCTCAGAATTCTATTTGTTTCCAACAACATCTAAACTTTGTAGATAGATATAGAGAATGTTTATCGGTTTTCGTTTTTCTACGATGTCACAAATAAAAAAACCTGGTCCGATCCCGTAACATCAGGATATTATTTTTCTTTCTAGTTTTCCTTCATTTTGTGTTTATACTGGACAATGTCTACGTTTTTTTACATTCAGTTATTATACGATTGTATTTCTTTGATCACTTTGTATTATTCCATTCCCCCAGGGAAAGTTAGAAACATAAAACGTGTTTGTGCTTACTTAACTTACACTGAAATATCTATTCTTCTCGGTAGACATAGTTATATGTTATCAGATTTCCTAACAACCCACAACTTATATAGATACTAGTAATGTTTGTCTAAAAAATATCAAAAGATAATAATAAAAACTACGTGTAGGTAGTTTTAATGATTGCTAGATGCCGTTGAAGAGATTTACTTCATAATTCATACACATATAATTAAAAATAATACTAGGTACCAAATGTAGTTCAACACGTTTATTTGAAATTAAATTAACACTCAACAACAGTCGCTTATTTAGTGTTTAGTGTATTAATATTCTGGTAGTATAGCAAAATCCAAATTTATCTATTTGGTACAATTAGTGGAGTGGTAGTTTACGGTGTTTTCACATTTGAGTAAAATAGAAACACTTTTTCAACGAAGTATTAAAATATTTTAGCAGTATTTCAACTACCAAATTTTATAGTAAATTATAGCATTATAACAATGTATTTCAAAACCGATTCAGTATTTGTCGTCAATTCACTTAAACAAGTTGATTCAGTAGCGGCAAATACCCACTAGATGGCAATACACTGTCTGTATTGCGATATTGCTAATGGAAGTTGTAGCGATGTTGTAGAATAAACTCCAACGACAAGATACGACACTATAAATGTTCCAAATACTTTTCAGCAACAAATTTACATTCTTTACAGCTTGAAGAAAACTCAGCCCACGAAGAAGGCAACTGTTACGGAAAAGGAGTTCGAACATTTGCTAGTGTTGTGTTTTGGTGTTGAGATTTAAACTATTCGTTAATGTATTTCAATGTTTAGAATCACTTTTACTGTTACTTCAGCGGAAGGGTCATAACCTAATTTGAAACCTTTCAGAAAAAGGTGTTTACCGTTGACAATCAACATCATCATAAGGTCGTCAGTCCTAAGACTGCATAGACACGCATCTCCAGTCATTCCTATTCTAAGCTAATCTCCGCATTTTTATAAAACTAGAACATCCCACATCCTTAACATGGTATTTGTGAATAGTTTTCTAATCTAGGTATGTTAGATGTTAGGATAAGCCATATAACTAAACGTAAAGGTAGCATTTTGCTGATTAAGTAATACCGAGCTTATAAATATTGTAAAGTGTCGTTGTCAAGACACTCTAGCTTCAGACTAGACTTTGTACATTTTGTACATCGTAAAACAATAAATGTTCAATTTTTTAAAAAGATAATTTTATCATTTGAGCATTTAACAGGTATACCTTTACCCCTCTTAACTCCTGTTCTGCTTCCAATATGTCGTAGATTTCGTAAATAAGAAGAAAAATAAATGTTGAAGGTAATAAATATTTAAGAGCAAAATCCCGTGAAATTAACCTTAAGGAAAGGAAAAGGAAGTAACCGAAGAAAGGAGTTTTAAAATAAATAAAGTTTTGTATTTTACAATATTTATTGATAATACTTACAGTAAATGGGACCCATTACTATTAACATTAACATAAAATCTGTGGCTAAAACCTAATGAAAGACGACTTGGGTTAGTATTGTAACAATTTATTGTATAACATCGAGAAAATTTTTTTAAAAAATAAATAAAAGTCGATAAATTAATGATAAAGAGGTAAAATGGATGATATCTTCACTGGAATTGGTTAGTAATGATCAGTTTTTCATAATTTAGAACGAATACTTCCTCTAAAATATAAAGAGATTATGAATGAAAATGGTTAAATCTTTTTCTTAGTAATACATCTCTTTCTGGTACTGCGGATGATCTTCTTCATTCCAATTTAATTCTATTATCCTTCCAGTTCTCGCAGCTTCTTCACATGCACTTGCAATTTTAGTAACAGCTAATACATCTTTTGGATCTACAGATAATTTTTCTTTATCTAGAAACAAAATGGATACCTAATCATTTAGGTAGCATTAATAAAAAAATTGAGTAGATATTTGCTTTGAAACTGAAAACTCAGATAGAAAAATTGTGAAAAATAACAATAATAAAAGATAATTTGACGAAAGTACGAATTATTTGTAGCTAGTACCTATAACAATATCAAAAACAAAAAAAATATAGATACAAAGAAAGCACAAACCTTGAAGTACGTTTAAGAAGTGCTCCGTTTCATTAATGTACCCAGCTTGGTATCTAGAAGGGAACGAGTAAAATATAGGAGACCTCTTTAAGCCTTCAAGACCGCAACTGAATTCAACTCCATGGACAGGTTGTTGATTTTCAGCCCTTACCATTCCTTTAAAACCAAATACCTACAAAACATACGTTGTTGTTCAGGATTTCTAACCATAAATCGCTAATATAGTTGGGACGAACAAAATTGGTAAAGTCTGTAATAAATTATCTGTGAGACCGAATGTATCTTCTTTCTTGTTTCTATTTGGGACTGTAGTCATTTGCTGCGTTATGCACACGCCCTTGTTAAATTAGGAAATGCTTTATAACTAGTACAGACAAAGTGAAAAGAGATAACCGAATAATAGTGAGGGGTGCAAATGTAAGAGGTTGCTTAGGTATCCTAAAGATCCGGGTCGGCTTTATAACTGCCTGGTTGGAATTATATTTTTAAACAAGTGTCTTTGCTTTCGTAAATTCCCGAGAATGTTAAAACTTTCTTTTAAGTCTGATGCTTGCAACATGCTCAACTTTTGCTTGTCTGCATCTCTTTCGGTTATTTATTAGTGCCCGCTACAATTCCTACCTGGCATCTCTTTTCTATGTTTACGATATTCCTCGTTTAGTTAGTATATTCAAAGAAGAAAGAAAATGTAAGAGTTTTATTGCAAACTATGCCAATTTTGACGGTCCCAACTATAGATCATTTATTCGATAATCTCGCATCTATAATAAGTAGTTTTATTTTTGAATCACTTTTATCGAAGATTACCTTCGGATTTAAAGTGACTTACTTCAAGACGCTGATCATATCCGTAGTTGCTGTTTCTACTTAAATCGATTACACCAATTGTGCCACTGGGAAAAGTGAGAAGAATGGCAACGGTATCATGATCTCCAATTTCCGCTATCTCGGGAATATTTGCTGTGGCAGACACCGACACTTTAGACGGATATTCGCCAAGAATCCAAATTATCATATCGATATCGTGAACAGCACAATCGTGAAATATACCCCCTGTAAATAAATACGAGAAATACGTTTCATATAAAACGTATACAAATTATTATAATGGTAATGTATTATTCATTGTTTATTTATGAAAAAATCATGTACAAAACTAGAACAAATCTCACGAATCTTCAGAAATGAAAATATGTCTTCTATGAATTTAACAACAATAACAATTTTTGCGATGTTATGCTGTTATATGAACTATTTGAGATAATTTGGAATTCAAGGTGTGGTAGTAATAAGCTTGCAAGTGGTTACCTGACTGTTTAAGATATTCAATAGTCGGTAAGGGTGAATCTCTACTACAGACTTTGATGGTAGTTACATGACCTACTTCTCCTTTCCTGACCCGTTCTCTAACAGTACTGTAAGCTGGATCAAAACGTCTAAGAATGCAAAAAAAATTATATCAATTCAACTAAATAAGAGTAGTATAGGTATATACTAAGTCTATCAACTGATTCTAATCAAACTGTTAAACGACAAAACATTTTAAATACTGTGAAATATGTACTTTACATTTTGTATTCATAAATTCGTAGTAGCAATTCGATTAAAGAAATGAGAAACTTAATAAAAAACATTTCAAAATGATTACCATTTTATGAATGAAAATATCAACTAACTTTGACAAAGATGTAAAATAGAAGGTAGGTATAAACCAGGCGCGAATGAAATATATCAGTGATTCAAAACCTTGAATAATTCATGAAAGGAGAATAAACGGCGAAAACAATGGGCAAATTAATTTTATTTAAATAATGGCTTTACCGTGATCTAAATCTATTTTTCCCGTTGTAATTTTATAAACGCGAAAGAAGTTAAATCATCTATAAAAGGCAGTCGGCACCTACTTAACTTACACAATTTCATCAAGTAAATTAAAACTGTTTAGCAAATTCCAATCTCATCGAGTTTTAGTTCTCTTTTTACGAAGTACGGCAAAAATTAATTTTTTTATGTTTTGACTCAACGTTTACTGTGTCAGTTGTTATTAAAAAGAGTGCTGATAATAACAAAAATGAGTTAACATGCAAAATACATTTTTAAACACAAATGATAAACTAAATTGTTTCGCCTATTTCCTGTTTGTACAATAACTAATAACTGTACTTGTAAGCTTGCATACGTTTTAAAAATAGTCTCAAAAAGTAAGTGCGTGTTTTTGTTCAGATGTAGTTACCTGTTGAATGCAGTGAGCAATGGCATGCCCACTTTTTTTGCTTTCTCGAAGCATTTCCTGGTCTTTTCTATATCTTCGGCAACAGGTTTTTCACAAAACACAGCTTTCTTGTGGTCTAAAGCTTGAGTTACTATCTGTTCATGAGTATGAGTGGGTGATGCTACAACTACTGCATCAACACTGCCAAATAAATAAAAATTGCATATTAGGGTAACCCATTCTTTCCCTCTGTTGTTTTTTCCCAGATTCTCCAACTATTAACTTGGATGAACATTTTTGATTGTTGATGCCTTAATAATTTGTAATATAATCGCATTTAGAAGTCCACGTAATCATTTTAATTAAGTATGTCGTTATTTAAAGGGTGTCTATTGTAAAAATGTTTTCAACTATTATAATTTAAAAGTGAAAAAGTGAGGAATTGCGTATATCTTGGACATATGTTGGGAGACAATAACTGGGATGAGTGGTACGTAAATAATGACGTAGCGAGGTGGAAGGCAATCACGGGAAAGATGTCGGACTTGGGTCGCAAATCGTGTAGGGAAGATTGGAAAAGAAGGATAATGCTTTTCATTGTAGTTGCGAGGAAATTGTGTTTTATGGGATGAAAATATGGGAATGGGAAGAAACAAAATAGGTAGTCTTACACAAAGAATATATAAAGTGGATTTTAATGTTAGAATGAAGGAAAGGACTATGTGGTAAAGAGGGAAACCAAATGCGGGAAAATGTGAGAGGAAGGGCTGAAAAGAGATGTCACCACTCGAGGGGAAATTAGCAAATCTAGAAGAAGGGAAATATGGAGAAAAAATGTTATGGATGTAACGCCAGAGAGAGAAAGAGAGACAATACACTAGAATTGTTAAAAATTAACCAGGAATAGTTGATACAGTGGAGAGGGCAAGGTAAGAATATGTGGAAAATGGTGAGAATGAGATGAAGGGAAATTTAAGAAAAATAGGGAAATCTAGGTATGCGTAGGACTGAGGGAGTTCTTATGGAGAGATTGGCAGGGAGACTTAGCCCATGCTATTTAGAAAGAAGGGATATCAATGCCTTGGTTAGAGTGGAAACATAGAATAAGTGTAGAGGGTGCAAATACTGGCTCAAAGAGATGAACAGGAGTTGTATGTTGTGTGCAGGCAGAATACCTAGGGCACGTGCTGGAGGGATGTGAGAGAATAAGGACGAAGGACGATGGAAGAATGTGTGGAGTTAGCGAACGAGTAAGGGGGTTGTTTGAGCTTATTAAATGAAATATTAAGAATGATGAGGCTATAACAGTTTTGTTTTTATTAGTCAAATTTGGAGTTTTCTATAGGGAAAAGGAGTTGGGATTTTGTACAGGGAGACGGGAGAAGTTATGTATGTTTTTTTTTAAATTGTCGGAAGATTGAGTTCTTTGTATAGTCTGTAGAATAACTTTTTGTTTCAATAAAGCTTATATAATTTAAAATCGACAGACTTGACTTAATTAGTTTGTTTATTAAAAAAACGTCTTTATAACGGGTTATCGCGAATTTGTCCTACGATATACGTTGAGTTTGTTTTAATATAAAAACGTGACCAACAAGTTCGTGACACGACTATCTTGCTGTTAAACTATGCAGGGGTCATCATATTGATTAACATTCTGAATTTCCCTACTCACTTTTCATCATTGAAAACTTGAGAAGCGTTAGTACTAGCTAAAAATATCGTCTCTGTAAGATTCCAATAATCCTTCAAAGGTTTCCACTTCGATTGGTCATCGTCTACGATGTACAGCAATTTTACACGAGGATTTTTTACTAGTGATGTCAAATGAATTGATCCTGAAAAAGGATACGGATGTAAAATCCCTATATCTTGAAATTTATTTTGAAAATCGCCTTGATTACATGAATTAAATTAAAAGATCAATTCAGTGACGTTTAACATTAAATTTAGTTACTTCTGTAAAGGTTTTTTTTATCAAGTGAAGGGACTTTTTTAATTCATTAAGTGTACAAAACATCTTCATAATCTATTTGGACACAATTCCCAAAACATCAAATATTATTATTTCAATACAAAAATATTAATAACAAGTTAGTAATGCCCTAACTAAGTTTAGCCCATATACAACGATAATACGATTAATAAACCAGAATTTCCTTTACTAATAGGTCCTAATGTTATCTACAAATGATAAAAAAGGTAGCCTCAATGGTTTGAACTACATACGTTACGATGCCGGTAAGTTCCAAAGTAATAATTAATCTAATAAGTAAGCATGTAAAACAGTGTGTTGTAATTAAGTTTCGTTAGTATTAGTTAGCGCCAGCTTCAATCATTATGGAAAATTTATTAACACTGCAAGAATATATAACTAAGGTAGTTCGTAAATTTCTCTTTAATCAAAGTTTACTCATGGCATACTTAAACATTGCGTTTAACAATTGTTGTCTTTTATTACGTAAGAAATTTTCTGGGAAGTTTTATTTAAATGAAATTTAAGCGTTTTGTAAATATTACCACTTTCATATCGCAAAAATATCGGAATTCTAAACCGTTTCAGAAATCTTATATACATAATTCATTAAAAATACTTTAAACCAATCCATTTTTTTTTCTTAAAATGAAATTAAACTTAACATTTAAGATCTACCAACCGATTGATTTTCAAAACTTTAAGTGTATATAATTTTTAATGAACTTAATAACACCAAAGCCGACATCAAAATCATCAAATTATACACAAAACAATACTGACCTGCCCTACCAACCCCAAAGAGAGCAATTCCAATAACATTATACCCTCCGGTTTTTTGTAGAGTTACATCTTGTACGTATCTAAAAAGAATGTTTTTTTTATTTTAGTTAACACTGTGCAATTACCAAATAATATAGTTACATTTTCGAAATAAATTAATTTATTAAATTGAATACTTACTTTCCATAGATGTAGTCTTCTGGGGGATGTTGTCTTGGTAATTTATAGGGTGAAACGTCTTTAAACTGCACTGTTGCCATTTCGAGATCTCAATTTTCTAATTCACACTACCACTTCCCGTATCCACTGGGGCTCTTTTATTTCTCACAAAAGTTCAGAGGTTATCGCCGGAGCAGCCAACGTTACAAGAAACAAAATCCGTCAGTATATTTGACGATTCGACCGTATTTTGCTGCTCTACGTCGATTGTTACTCAATGCATAAATTTTATCTATGTTTTCAAACCAACCGCGACCGTTGTTGTCAGTATTTTATCGTCGAGTTATATCGCGTCAGCAAATAAAATTACAACTTACTACCTACTAAAACCATACTGGAACAGTCTGTTTTTACACGATAACGGGACACACAGTAAGTAATATTTTTGAGTAACTTGGTTGGGTAGCCCGTTCTGTCTACACGCAAGACAAACCGCGTGTATTGATTATGTCGGTTTTTCTGATAGCACTTTCAATGGAGATTCATCAGTTTTCCGAAGGAAAAGTCTATTTTTTAAGTTTGTTTGCAGTGGTACCTACTTTCTATATACTTTTATCTCGCAAAATATCCTGGTAGTACGGATTTATATGTATATTTACGATTAGAAATAATAAAACCGAGAAGTCTGCTTACGCAAAATGCTCCGACGAAGGCCAAAGACATTTTGAAATGGGGCTACTAGCATACAAAGTACAAAACAACAGCAAAATTGTTCATTTAATAATTTCCTTGTTTCAATCTTAAAATGTTTTCAAGAGGAAAAATCAAAAATAATAATTTTCGATGATGGATTGTTTCTCCTTCGGTGAAAAGTTTTTGATCTGGGTTTTTTAAAGATTTCCCCATTTCTCCAAATTTATTTTATAGTTTTGCATTAAAATACCTATTGAAATGGGAATATTTCTGTTACAAAAAAGGAATTTAAAGTTATAATTGACCAATATTTTTAAATTTCGTTTCTGAAATGTTGGTTTTTCTGACGGCTCTTTCAACGACGATTCATCAGTTTTCCGAAGGAAAAATCTACTTTTAAGTTTGTTTGCAGTGGTACCTACTTTCTATATACTTTTATCTCACAAAATATCCTAGTACTTATATATTTGCGATTAGGAAAAATAAAACTGAGAACTCTGCTTACGGAAAATGATCCAACGAAGGTCAAAGACATTTTGAAATGGGACTATGAGCATACCAAGTACAAAACAATAGCAAAATTGTTCATTTAATAATTTCTTTGTTTTTCTTGTTTCAATCTTAAAATGTTTCCAAGAGAAAAAATCAAAAGTAATAATTTTCGATGATGGATTGTTTCTCCTTTCCGATGGAGTTTTTAATCCAGGTGTTTTTCAAAGATTTCCCCACTTCTCCGAATTTAATGTTTTTTTGCATTAAAATACCTATTAAAATGGGAATATTTTTGTTACAAAAAAGGAATTTAATTGCATTGCACCAAGTGTTTTCTCGAGCGGTAAATTGTTTACATACTGTTTATACTACTACAAATCGTCGTTATTAACAACTAATTAGTATTTTAATGAATACTACTGCAAATTGGATTGGAACACGGTCAGCATTCGACTTATCTGGAGTCACGATTTAATAAAGTCTCGTGTTCCTAATTGTAAATATTTATGGCAGTTGATATCAGTTTTATGTCTAGTTCAATGGATATCTTCTCTAAACGTTTTTAAAACACGATAACAGATGTTCAACATACGCATACATCATACAACACATATAACTATAAATAAACATAATTAATGTTTAATTTTTTTATTTGGCGGTTGCTATGCTATGAAGAAAATACGTATACCTATTGCATCAACCGACACTACAACATATAGACATTAATGATTAAACCATTTAACAAACCTTAATCATAACAAATATAACAATCACAAGGGGTAAGAACAAGCATCTACCTATTACACAAAGTTTACAACTTTTAACGAGAAAATTTCTGTTTCTATAGCCACAGCACTTATAATAGAGGCAGACAGACCTGGATTAGATTACTGTTCGCAAATAGTTAAGGATGTGGGATGTTCTAGTTTTAGGGAAATGCGAAGATTAGCTCAAGATAGGAAGGAATGCGTGTCCAAGAAGTCTTACAATTAGGCCTGACGACCTTATAATGATCTACTTATTGATAAACAAACATTTGAACGTCTGACATTGACATCTCGCTATGTCGTCAAAATTAACATTTTATTCATTAAATTTAATGTCATTGTTTTTGATCCCGTAATCATATAAACAGATTCAACTAAAATTTCACAATGTATAATACAAAAGCTTAAAAGAATATAATAGATATAATCTCAAGACCCGTTGAAGATAAACCTAATACAAAAGAACCCGGAAGTGCATCGTTAGGTTGTTTTTTAATAAAAAAACTATTTCGATTTTAATATACAATTTTTTACAGTAACGTCGCCGGGCGGTTACACATCAGTTACTCATTTAACATTAATTGGGTACACTGTATACACATACGTACATAGGTATAAAGATTAAATGTACCTAAAGAGATCGTTTCACTATTTCGCACTTTGAATCGTACGTATTAAGCTTTGAACTGTACAGAGATTCCATTGTCATCAAGTGTCTCATAACGTATGACGTTATAATTTATAACTTTTTTATAAAATCAGGTCAGTGGAACTAAGAAATATAAAATTGTTATAAGTTATAACTTGCTCTATTAGCAATTAATGTTAAGAGTTCATAAATTTTCAAGCCAAAACTAATCCAAGTAAAGTTGTAACACATGCCTGCTAATATTGTTACAATTTATAAAATGCTTATTGATTATTTTTATTCATTTATTATCTCAAAAACATGTTTACGTTAGTGAGACGAGTATGTCTACATTGTACGTATACGATAATTTTGAATAAATAGTTGAATTGCAGTTTGTCATTATTTGTTATGAATGTCATTTAAAATAATAAACAAGATTATTTATAATATATATTACGTATGAGGAATACGTAAATTTCAATGGAAGATTGTAGGATAAAAATAAGAAAATGACAATGAGATAGGTAACCAAATAAATGGAAAAGAAAATGATCATATCATTTAAGTTAGGGTAAATTGGGATAGATCGGCCTCCATTTTTTCATGAAGTTGTAAAAATATATGTATAACCTTTTAACATCGGTAAAAAATAGTTTTGAGGGGAAATCCCCCGATTTTCGAAAATATTTTGAAAAATTTTGAACATAACCAAATTTTAAAACACAAACTTGTGTTATTAGATGTGTTTATGTTAGAGTGATGACGTAAACAGTTCGCGGAGCGTTTGAAATCTTGTTGAGCTCTCAACGACTGCTTGGTGGAAAAGCGGTGAGCTGAAACGCGACCTTCCGAAGTTACAACCAATGTTGCCACGACTGCAGTGGAATTTATTGTTAACAATTTTTTTTTGTAATAATTTCTAAAGTTACATAAAGAACGACAAAATTATCGCAATTTTTTGAATATGATATCATAAGGACATATAAAGTAAAACAGATAAAAAATCGAATTAAAATAATTTTATTTTTGAATCACTTTTATCGAAGATTACCTTCGGATTTAAAGTGACTTACTTCAAGACGCTGATCATATCCGTAGTTGCTGTTTCTACTTAAATCGATTACACCAATTGTGCCACTGGGAAAAGTGAGAAGAATGGCAACGGTATCATGATCTCCAATTTCCGCTATCTCGGGAATATTTGCTGTGGCAGACACCGACACTTTAGACGGATATTCGCCAAGAATCCAAATTATCATATCGATATCGTGAACAGCACAATCGTGAAATATACCCCCTGTAAATAAATACGAGAAATACGTTTCATATAAAACGTATACAAATTATTATAATGGTAATGTATTATTCATTGTTTATTTATGAAAAAATCATGTACAAAACTAGAACAAATCTCNATCATACAAATAATACTCATAAAAGACATTCTATGTAATGAATAATCAAAACAGATTTTGTGATGACTTATTTTTTGAAAATTTTCAGTCTTCTGATACTTGAGTATCATTCGACAACGTGGTTTTTGGTTGTATTTGCAGCTAACTTAGCAGCAGAGGTTGACAGTTATTTTCCATGTTATGTTCGTCTGAGTTGACAACATAGCTGACAACGCCATCGAGTTGTACGCCGCCTTAAAACATTCATTGATCGTAATATTCTGTTGTACTTTTACAATTAATAAACTTAAGAATGTCTGAATTTGGAGATAATTTCGAAATAGATCCGGCTGCTGAATTTTTAGCTAGAGAACAGAGTGAATTAGCAGGCTTGGAGGATGAAGTAAAACCAGCTGCAGTTTTTGTTCCCGGATTTACAGCAGGTATATTTTTTTATTTTTTGTCGTAAAATGTATGTTTATTATGCTCTCTTATTTTTATTTCACGTTATTTTCTTCAAACACTTCAACAAACTCAAACACAAATGACACAATGTCTTTTCTATCTTACAATTAATAAAATTAATTAATTAAAGAAATTATCGTGTTTATCAAGGATTTAAATTAATTTTCTGTACTTATATTTTTTCATAAGAATATAACTATTCAAAATTATGTTTCTAATAACCGAAAAAATAATTTTTGCTGGACTATTAATATTATATGTATGCCTACAAAGAAGCATTTGGTGCTTTTGGTTGAGACCAATTCTGGTATGATAAGCATGATTGTGTGAATGCATGTTTTCTTTCTACTGCACACTAAATGTGTTTGTGTGCGTGTAATAAGGATTATCATTTTTTTTATTATTATTGTATCAACAATATACAATGTGCTTTGCCTGTAGAAGAGCCAACCACAAACAGTCTAAAAGAGCATTCAGAAAGCTTTGAAATGATAAATGGAGTGGACCATGATAATGTTGAAATTCCAAAAGAGGAATTTAGTGAAGGTAATTTTTTATTCTCTTTTCAGTTGGATTTTTTTTCCTCCAAAGACATGTCCAGCTGTGTTTTATTTTGGTTACCTTCCTAGGTATCTAATTTTTAAATAAATATCTAATTTTCGTTTTTAATTTTTTATACTTATTAAATTATTTAAATAAACAAACAGTTGTTAAAAAGATTTGCGTAAATGACAACCTTCAAAGGACCTATGTAGGTATTAATTTGCAATGATCTAATGGTAACTTATAACATTGCTGAACATGTCGGATGCTTTTGCTTTTCTTAATTATCTCTGTGAAATGTTTCTAGACAATGATAGCCAGTCAGGGATTTCAGGTACATACATTAATCGTTTTTTTTAGCTTACTCGTAGCATGTGCTTGATAGTAGTAGTTAAAATTTCTCAAATTATTATGGAAATATAATCTTCCTAGTTTTTTCCTTTTCATATTGCCTCACGCTTGCATCTGTTTCATATCAGCAGTAGGTACTACACGAATATGCTGCTTATTAGGTTGAAACCGGTTTATTTTACAAGTAGGTATTTTAACGTTTTAACCCAGGCGCTAAGCTAATGCACGTGTGTTATTCTACCACTGCAATGAATACACCTGCGGTATTTCCAATTGTCGGCAAATCAATTTATTTATTTTTCTGATGGATTTATGTCTTTTTAATAAACTGAACTGTAAACAATTTATAAACTCCTTACTTTTTTGGGTTTATTTCAAGGGAAAAGCCGAAATGCACTGAGTAGATGTTTCTATGCTCAAACTATTGACGATACATAAATCGTAATTTATTTAGAATTAAAATGGATTAATTAACTACTTAATAGGTGCTGGTAACAAAAAGATTTACACTACTTGTTTATTTTATTTTTACTGTTATGTGTTGTATTTTTTATATATTTAACGTACCTAATTCCTTATTTAATTAATTGTTGTACTTTTAATATTATTTATTTAATTTACTGCTTTATGTTCCATAACCCTACACATGTTACACATTTATTTTGTTAATGCCGTTACTTGAGTACTATACCAGGTACAATATTTCCAATTTGAAATTTTCATGCTGCTTTTAATTAACAGAATATGTATAATAATATAATAATTACTAAATTAGCCAATTACTGTAGCTTCTATCTTTTTGGTAATTGGCATCTCAGTGTAAGTATTTATCAAATTAACATACGTATGTAATTCAAGTAAAGGAAGATTTTAATGGTACAAAGGCAAAGGAAGATTTAAATGTTACAAGGACAAGGGAAGAGCCTGAAAAGATAAAAAAGTGGAGAGAAGAACAACAAAAGAGACTAGAAGAAAAAGGTGAGTTAGAATAGTACGAAATGTAGGGAGTTAATCAATACTATTAAAATAATAATAAAAGTAATNTGAAAGTAGATTATACGTATAACACCTCTATTCAATTATATTATCAAAGTTTAAAAAGAAAATGTGTCACAATAAATAAATAAATTAGCTTATAAAATCTAAAACATCATGAATTAAAGTAATATCGGCCATTAGTTTATTCGCAGTTAATTAACAATACAAAAATTTAATCCTAATGTAAAACGAGTATTGTCAAGAATCTTGTAACATGAATCTGTAACATTTCATGAGGCATGTCTATATCAAAAAATAAATAAAACTAATTAAAACCGTAAAAGTCTTGGTTACAATGCCTAATAAGCATGTAAACAATTGTTTAACATTTTAAGATAAACTAGAAATTGCATCAAGTACATAATTTCGAATAAAGTAATAAGTAAAATTTTCATTACGGTCCTGACTGTACATCCGATCAATACCTATATAACTTCGCGAACTTGTATTTAGACGCCTAGCGCCGCGACGGCGAATGTGTGTCATGGCGTCTATTTCAAGACATCGCTATTTATCGAAAACAAAAATAATTTCTGGACCGTGTTCACATCCCGTAAATCATTTTTCTTCAGTATATCGTGTAAGTACTATTAAATTTAATTACAATCTTTTGCTCTCGATAAAATTATTCTTTTATAAAGCAAGGTCATCATTTTGACATGTAGCAAAACGTAACAGGTGATGGTGTGCCGAGTAACTAATTTATGTCGATATTTTCGCATTGTGAAATTAAAGATCATTTAGAAAAGATAAATTTGAAATTTTCATGCTGCTTTTAATTAACAGAATATGTATAATAATATAATAATTACTAAATTAGCCAATTACTGTAGCTTCTATCTTTTTGGTAATTGGCATCTCAGTGTAAGTATTTATCAAATTAACATACGTATGTAATTCAAGTAAAGGAAGATTTTAATGGTACAAAGGCAAAGGAAGATTTAAATGTTACAAGGACAAGGGAAGAGCCTGAAAAGATAAAAAAGTGGAGAGAAGAACAACAAAAGAGACTAGAAGAAAAAGGTGAGTTAGAATAGTACGAAATGTAGGGAGTTAATCAATACTATTAAAATAATAATAAAAGTAATAATTATGTAATTAAAGATAAAAAGTTAAAATACAAAAATTTAACATACAGATAAGGAAGAAGAACTGAAGAAAGAAGAATGGCGTGCAATCGCGAAGAAGGAATTGGAAGATTGGTATAAAAATCATGAAGAACTTATTGCAAAGACTAAAGCAGCCAATAGGTAGGTTTATTACGAAATGTTTAAATTAAATCAATTTTATCAATACAGGTATCGAAAATAACCTCGGTTATTAAAAGTTATATAGCAAATTTTAAGAAATTTTGGGAACCGAAAACGGTATTTGAAACTATACTTTACTAGGTAATTGTAATATTTATGTGTTTAACTTTTATAAATTCAAAATAACTGCAACGATTATACGATTTCTTAAAACTTTATTGTTTTTCTACAAAAAATTAAAAATATTTTTAAATTGTATTTCTAATATTCAAACCACCAACAATTATAAA